CAACAATGTTAAATGATAAGGGATCGGGTTGCGCGCCGCAACAATATTGTCATTGTATTGATTGTAGACATCGAGTGTTCTTTCATACTTTATTAAGTTTCTGATAGAATTGATATGTTTCCCCGAAGCAAGTTTCCCCCTCCCTTTTAAACTGTTATTACCTGTTTATATTTCTGCTGTATATTATATAACTGCACAGGTTTATCTGGAGTCTGGTCCTAGCCTCGTCACTACCTCGCCGGGGTTAGACCAGACACTTACCAGCACATGAGGTCGGTTGTGCTGATACTACACTCTGCACTATGTGCAGATACAGGAGCGACACTTGATCAGTAGCAGTAGGGGAGCCAGCCTTCAGTCCACCGAGATACCGAGGTAGTCTTGCAGGCGTCCGCAAGCCCGACGTCTCCTCTATCTTTTATTATGTTCTGTTATCTCTTGTATCCGAAACAGACAGTGCTTATTTCTTTCAAACAGTTGTGTGTAGTGATCTTAGTAGTCCGTGGATATTGTGACACCAGTTTCTAGGTAGAGGCATGTGCTGACTTTCGAAATATTTTGGTTTTATATTTATTTAAGATTTTCGCTTAAATCTTGCATTCTGCTGTCATTTAGATGTTTATCACTTATTAATATAAGTTGTAAGAAGGATTAAAACAGAAGAGTTAAAGATTTCTAAGTTCGTGACTTGCCTAGCTTCTACGAGTAGGTGCCATCACGACTCCCGAGGGTGGGAATTCCGGGTCGTGACATGAGCACTCTTAGAAGTAAAACCCAGGCCCTTCTGATTGTGAATGATAAATCCTATAGTTTGCTTGTATTTATGTTTTTCAACTGGTACTGTTTTTTGTTTAATTCCTTGTATTATATGCTTTTGCTGATTCATAGAGATCTCCAATTTGGAACAATAAGTCTCTAGAGTAACAAGCTGGCAGCTGCCAATAACTTTGGAATAAAAGGAAGAAAATCAGAAACATTGAATGGGATAAATAGTCTGCTAATCCCATCTCCTCCCTCAACAGGTGATAAAAATGAGTACTTATTGTAAGCGCTTGAATTTTTAGTACTTCTATTTATTTATTTATTTATTTATTTATGTTTGTAACAGTTAGGAAGCTTTCAGTTGTCTCAATTTTGTATTGAGAAAAAGAAGCAGCATTCACACAAAAAGAGAGGCTTTCTCAACCATGGACCTAATATGCTCTACTATAAGGTACATACCAACATTCACCCTTTTCTCTTTTTCAAATTTTTTTGGCCGATGAAACCTAAAAATCAGTACCTAATTTGAATAACATGCAAAGCTTGTGAACGCAGGGTTATAGTTTATATAAGTAAAAGATAGATTGGTGGCAGGTAGGTACTTCTACTTACTACTTATTACTGAGGATATAACAAAGACCTTGAAAGCTGCTTTTTCAAGCGTCAGGTAGCAGAACGCTTTGTCAATCGGGGAGATGGACATACACAACCTACCAAAGATAGTATTGATTGTGGTTTTCCTAGTGCTGCTGCACCCAAGTGGATCAAGAAGCCAATGGGTACTTCAGCCACCTATTGTCACTCGTCCGCTTTGTGCCTCTCAATTTACACTTGTGAATCATGCATGTTCATTGCTTCCATACACTCCAGGGCCTCCACCATCTCCACCATCACCTCCTCCACCACCGCCGTCACCTCCTTCTCCTCCAGAGAGAAGACACAGACACAAGCATGGACGACACCACGTTCATAAGGAAACTCCTGTAGAAGAGGAGTGCTGTAGGTGGATGAAACAAGTCGATAGTGAATGTGTCTGTGATCTGCTGGTTCACTTGCCTCCTTTCCTTTCTAGGCCTGTACACCAGTATAATGTTGTGGTTGATTCATCTTGCAATGTTACTTTCGAGTGCGGTTCGAGGATAAAGTTTGAAACTCAAATGTTACCCCAGTTTCCCTGATGCCCCCCATCTCACAATAACCTTTCACAGGAATTATGGTATACTGGTGTTTGTTTATCTTTGTTAACTATAGCTTCTTGAAATTGAAAAAAAAAAAGAAAAAAAGGAAAGATAGATAAGTAATAGTGACCTATTTAGTTTTAATGCTGATGAAAGTCTTAATGTGTAGTTGAACTAAAGAAATAAAGTGATGTAGTATCTGTTTCCATCAATTATGTGCTAACCTTTTAACTTCTGTGTTTTTCTTCAAATATGTAAGACTTAAAGCTTTTCTTGGTCCTTCTTTGCTAACATTGAGAACAATGAACCCAGATTAAGAAAGCATTTATTGGTATTTTTACCTATCCTTTTTACGTGGAGGTAGAACTAGAATGGTTTTGTCGGTTTAACTTTAACACATTATTAAGGAAATTAACACTAATACATATAATAAGATAACAATTATTCTAAAAAGCTGCCATTCTCTTTTATATATACAATAAATAAAACATGAAAAGCCGCCATTCTCTTTGGCCTTACTACATCTGGCGCCCAAATAAAGGGTAAAAATTAGCTTTTGCCAAGTCAACCATATATATATATACCCTCCCTCCGTTTCAGTTTATGTGAACTCATTTGACTGGACACAGAGTTTAAGAAAAGAGAGAAGACTTTTGAACTTGTGGTGTAAAATGAAGCACATATATTTTATGTGGCTATAAATCATTGCATAAAGGTAAATTGTTTCCAAATAGGGAAATGAGTCATTCTTTTTGGCACGGACTAAAAAAGAAATAGATTCACATAAATTGAAACGGAGAGAGTATATATTAACGTTTATCGACTCTATTCTTTAAATAAATGATCAAATATCATATAGGCCAACATAGCCACTACTAACTTTGATGGGACTTGTGCTCTTTGTAAAGAAGTATTAGAAAAATTAAGAAGATGATTGTTAAGGCCTCAAATTAAACAGGAGCATATGAGATCGTGTAACTTCATTCACTATCCACAAATAGCACACATGAGGAATAAAGTAGAGTTTGACTAATGGAGTATCATAGTATAGCCAAAAAAGCGACTTCGAATGGAATTACATGCTGATTATGATTGATTTGATTGACTTGAGTTTATTTCCAGCTTATTTTTTCCATTCAAGTACATCATTAAGAGTCCGGAATCAAAAGTGTGGTCTTTTTTTACTCAAAGAACAAAAATAGGCGAAAAATCAACTGATGAACAATTTATAACGCATGGGTTGAATGCGGTATACCTTAACGGCAAGTTTGTCCATTAAACTATAGCGCGTGCAACTCATGCGCTATATTTGAAATTCAAATGTTGGTCAAATTATAAGTATATCACATATACGGGATGCGCTATACTTGAAGTTGAAAATATGCTCTATACCTATATAATAAATGGCCCAGCCTTCTTCCTCGACATTACGCACAAAGCGCCCCCCTCCCCCATTTTTAAAGCATAAATTTCTATTGGAGTCCACCCGTCTCCCAAAAATCGTGTCCCCTTAGTATTTTAGCGAGCTAAAACGAGGTATTCCGAGAATTCATGTATATAAATTACTAATTAGATGTTTTTACTGTGTTGTATACTTTTTGTGATCGTTTTCTTATATAAGTATTTTTTGTTTTTTATCCGGATTAGTTTATTAAAATTATATATTTTATTTTGTTGAATAATTAGTGTTATATGTGACTTTATTGTTGTACATATAACAATATGCGACTTTGTTATTGTTTAGTACCCTTTAGTGTTATGTTGTACCTTTAATTGATATGTAGTACGCTTTAGCGTAGTAATACTGATAATAAATTTTAATTTATAGTAGTTGACTTTGTTTATGACTATTTAGAGTAGTGTGACTTTAGTGCTCTTTAGGATTCTTTAGTCTAGAATAAAAACTATGTGCCCTCATTAACTAACTCGCTAGAGTACTCAATTATAGATTTAATATATTAGTAGATAATTATCAAATATTAGATATGAATCATAAAATAATTAGTCGACATTACGAAAGAGATGCTGCCATAGTTTTGGGCAAAATATAAAAGTTAACAAACAAATCGTTACGAATGAAATAAATTTAATATTATTTACTATTAAGTTTGTAGTATTTTTTATATGAATAATTATTAGATAATTAGTTATGAAAATTTAATATTTAATTATGTTATAACCTAAAAATCTGAAAAAAGATGAGAGTTCAAACAAAACACTGTAGAATTTTAGTCAAAAACTAGTAAATTTACACGCGCTTCGCGCGGTCAATCATTCAAAAAGTTTTGAGCTGAATTTCTTTTTTGTAATTTTATTTGAGATAGAAGAAATAACATTTTCATAAATCAAAAATAAAATATAAATTATAATGTATGCCACAAACGAAATTTTTTAAAATATAAGAAAAAAATACATATGAAATTAATTAGCAGAAACAAATGCAATAAAGCATGATATTTTTAATAATATTATTAAATTGTAATAATTATTTTCACATCTTGCTGAAACAATTCTATTCCCAATCCTACCAAGATATTGTGGGACTTAGCTTAACTATCAATTGCTTCTGCAGCTATAAAATATCTCGTTACCATCTTTCTGTAATCTGCGAAGTGCCATCAATCAATCAAGACAATTTCAAATTGGTAGAGATTCGGCAATAGGATTTTTATATGCATTATGCTATATTTATGTCTAGTTTATTCCAATACTAAGCTTAATCCATACAAATATTTCAAATGGACCTTTTAGCATATCCATAGAATTTCGATTTTGAAGTTATTAAAATGGTAAGGCACCATACCAAAAGATAAATGCCTCAATCAAATTTAAGTTATGAAAGAGGAAATAAATATAGGCTTTACTTAAATAGAAGGCTAAAGAGCATTCTCATCTTCCTTGTTCTTTCAAAGTGTTGCATCAAGCTTTTGAGATGGCTCTCAGGCTTCGTTTCCGCAAAGGAAAATAAGGTTTGAATCAAGCAAGAATATGAAATATCCAACCAAGAGAAGGCACATAAAATATCTTGATATTTGTGTCACATAAGTTATAAGTAACCATGAGAATATGCTTTTTCTATTGCTATTCCCTGTAATTTTAAGTCACTAAATTTTAAAAAACATAAGGAAGAAAACTAATGAAAAAGATTAACAGAAACAAAATGCAATAAAAGCTGACACTTTTTTTATAGTTTTATAATGATCGAATGCTCACGGAACGATCACCTATAAAATATAACGTAAGTCCTCTAGCCTCTTTTCTCGTTATTATAAATAATACTCCATATTTTGTTAGTGATTGTATTTAGAAGTAAATGTATATAATAATAACATTAATCATTATAGTTGCTACTAGTATTTATTAGAGATCTTTAGTCCAACGTCCATATTCTATTTTAGAGACCTTAGATAATTTTAAAATAAAGTAAATTGAAAATGAAAGAAGAAAAAAAATGAAAAAGCAGTACATAATTCTTGCTGGATATGCTCCTATATAATCGGTAATTTTGACTTCTCGGAACAAAGTTTTTAGGCAGGAATTTACCTACACCGAATAAATTTTTACCTAGTTCTTGTTGAATATGATCCTAGCTGCTAGATGGTAATTTTAAAAAGATAATATTTCTGACCTCCAATAACACAAGGTTAATAAAGTGAATGACTTTTGAGCATCAACAAAGGTTAAGACGATATGAAAAGATTTCATCATTACCATGCATGAGTAACACCTTCAAAAAATAGCAAGCTAGACTCATTTTACATATACCAAAAAATAAAAATAGAGAAAACGAATAAAATTAGTCCAAATGGACAAAAAAAAGTAATGTGCTAGATAAGTTTATACCCAAGTCCGGTACATGGATCAAAGTTCTTGACAATGTCCTCAAGCTCAAATTTTATCATTTCAACCATCAGAATTCGGACTAATAACATTTTCCATGGATGCTAAATACGAGACATTACAAAAAAAAAAAAATTTTGATTGTTACATAACTAATGAGAAGCAAGCATGAATGAGAACCAGATCATCAGATTTCTATTTCAAAAAGGGAGAAAATTTCTTCTTTCTCCTCGAAGTCTTTGCCACAACCACACAACTGCTAATCTTATATACAGATGGATGAAGCAATGTGGATTTAAGCATAAGGAAGTAGGAGGCGTTTTATTTTAGTAGGGAGACCAAATAGGTGAGAGGGTTTTTGTAACTGATGTGAACAACATAAATATGAAATTAATATACCAGAGATTAAGCATTCGTTGTGTTGTATAATAATAATGCCATTCACATGTCTTGTGTCTCCAGCTACTGCTCAATTCATAATATTCACTTATGAATTATTGAAACATAATATTTCAGGAGCCAAATAAATGAAAGGCTTTTTGTAACTAAAAAAAATTATAATGAGATGTAATAAATTGATTAGAAAATGATCAATTTTCAATTATTAAACAAAGTATATGAAAAGAATGAAGGAGGAAAAGCCAAAAAAGGAGAAAAAAGATAAATAAGATCCTTGGCCAAAGAGAGGTGCCAACTCACCTCCTCTATTCCCTCTTATATACATATATATATGTAAGAAACTAACATATGAAATATTAATATAAAAGATTTATCAACCTAAGTATTTGTTATATGAATAATTACTAAAATTTCTTATTAGTTATGAAAATTAAATATTTAATTCTCTTATAACCCCAAAAATAACTGAAAAAAAGATGATAGTTCAAACAAAATCCTACCATATTTTAGTTAAAAAAATGTAAGAAACTAACATATAAAACAATAATATTAAAAATTCATCAACCTAAGTATTTTTATATGAATAATTATTAAATATATCATGATTAGCTATGAAAATTAATTATTTAATTCTCTTATAACCCAAAAATATCTGAAAAAAAGATGATAGTTCAAACAAAACCCTGCCAAATTTTAGTATAGAAACTAACATATAAAATAATAATATAGAAAATATATCAAACTAAGTAATAATATAAATTTTTTATCAATTAAATATTAATATAAAAAATATCGCAATATCTTTAAAGATGTTAAATATTAAACAAAAAAATACTTTAATTAATATTGTTCAATTTA